CCGAGTGCAGATCAGCAAGCGCAGGTTTGGTATCAGTTCGCTGATGGTTTAAGGGGTCTCCTGTGGGACAGGAAGCTGGAGCTCGCATTTGTTTTTTACCGAATGGACTGACAAGAGCTTTGGGATCAAACTTATCGCTGTTCCTGAACTGCAGGCGGCGATAAAAGCTAGTTTTCTAGCAGGACAGTGCAAGTGTCCATGCTTACAGGTCAACGTCTGCGTGGTTCTAACGACAGAAAGTGGTCGTTATGGAGCGGCCTGCACGCAGTCCTGATCTGAACTCCATAGAAAACTTTGGGGTGTAATTGTGCAACAGGTTCACGACAACAAAAGGCGGTTTTCCAACTTCTACACAATGAAAAGGCGATCATGGACGGGTGCTGCAGCATCGGCCCTTCAATCCTCGGCAGTTCAACAGTGAGTATGTCACATTGACTCATAGAGCTGCCATTCGAACAGAGAGCACCAATTGACAACTTATTTTCATTGAGCACTTTCTGACTTTGCATAAATAAACAGAAATTCAAAGTGGACGTATACTATGAAACGGTCAAAAAACGAAAAAATGCTTCTAAAAAATTTCGCCATAGACTTGCCTGTCTGAAAACATGTGTTTCGTAGTTTTCCTGGACAACGAATCCGATAATGTATGCTGCTAAATTGGGCCAGTCCTTCAAGAAACGTTTTTGGTAAAATCAGGGGTGGACGTATACCAATGAAACGCACTGTAGTACTAAAGTGCCTCGTAAAAAAAATAGAGGAGCTGGAGTGTACATGTTCTTGAACTCATTCTATTCCCATTACCGCCACTAACCGTCACTTACTTCGCCCTTTGAACCACTTCTTGACAGGAAATTCACCAAAATTTAAGATGTTGAAAGACGTCAGCGATTTCATGGACACTCAGTCTCGGAATCACCGACCAGCCCGTTAGGTGGGACACTGTAGTTACTAACGATGGAATCATATAGTTGGGTAAATTCGACAGCATGCTCAATAAGAAAGTAAAACAAAAAATGTCAAACAGTTCAAGACTTTCTTACCAGCCTGAATACATCAACTGACCAGCGCAGGTCGTTGTGTAGGAAAACTCGCAGTTACACAGCGCTACGATTCTAGAAAGTCGAATGCATGGCGCACCCCAAAAGAAGATTTTTAGCTTCCTTCTCAGCTTTGGTAGCAGCCTCTACGAGCCCGACAATATTCCAGCCCGGACCTACAATGGCCATTAGCCCCTACCAATATTTGGTGTTTCCTCGAAACACTGTCCAGCCAAGACAATGAAGGGATCATCACCCACAGTTCATGGCTCGAGTTACAGGGCAGCATTTTGAAGATGGTAAACGATAGGCACTATGCTCTTTAGCAGTACTTAGCCATTACTGACCCTTGACGTCCTTGATCTCTGACAGCAGTTGTTATTGAGAAGCGGACGGCAGCGAAAGTGTAATAGTCGAATAAGGTTGTGTAATAGCGCGATAATGTACGTACCTCACCATGCCGTTTTTGGACATTATAAGATTTTGAGTGCGGATCGGGAAAGTTTTGTTCCCTAGCATGTTTAATAATCTTTCACTTTTCAAGGGCTGAAGTTGGTATGGACGCAAGTGGTGCTGCTTCCACATGCACGGTCAGGTTCAAATCCTTGCTAGTACGCCTTCCAGGCCAGCCGAGCCTTCTTCAGATTCGGTGACCGACCATCAAAGCTTTCCCTCACTATAGGCGTCGGTGTTAAATTGGTACTGAACTCATATGGAAGGATAAAAATACAGATTTGTACACTACACGTTGTGTAGAACTTTTGGTGGTGGATGTCGCATACTTTGTGGAGTCTTGAGTCGCTTTGCCACTATGTAACACCACCAAAAGCCCCTACGAAAAACGGTGGGTATTCCAGAAAGAGCTACGTAACGACTTGAACTGTTCGAAGTTTATAAAGTCTACGCTAAGTAAATTGAAGGAAGGTTTCAGAAGAAGTTCCCAGGCCCCTTCAGACAGGACGACCTTCCAACTTAGAGAACTTCAAGGAGCGTTAAAAAGGCAGCACAGGTAACCCGGAAGCATGAAGGATCGTCAGCGTAAGGTTACGTAAACCGGGCTCAATTTAGGGATATTCCACAGGAATTTAAGTTAGTGCTGCTATTCAGTGTTCTATTGGTCTGCACTGACGAGACAACATGCTCAGCCTGATCGCCTATGGACAACCAATGATTAATCGAATTATAGGCCAGACAAAGGCCCCTTCAGAATTTCAGGAAAGGGGGTTAGCTAGGGCTTATTTGGGAGCACATCATGGCCAGCGGATGATGCCCTCCCAGAAGGAATTCAGTACTTGGTCAAATCTGGGGCACTCACGTCGTTGGGAGGGCATTGAAAGTGAGTGAACCACTTATAGAGTTTGGGACTAGGCTTTAGGGGGTAAGGAATTCCGGGTGAGGACGTAATCAACCTCTGTTTTTCCTGGTGTTTCTCCTCAGTTCTGAGCTAGTCCAAGGGTCACCTACCAGCGGTTTTTGAATGCCCTGTCTTACATGTCCCCTCCCCCTCCTAAGAAATGAGCGCCGAGGCTGGACAGCAGTGTTTTCTCAACGACTAGGCACATAGATGAGCTCAGAGATCAAACCAATAGGTATTCGTAATGCTTTCACACACCTTATCAACTCTCAACACAACATATCTTCATCGATTTTCATTAGAGAGATCCAAACAAGGCAATCACCAAATAAAACTTCCTGAGAACAATCAATACAGTTCCTATTTACAATTATACGTACATAAATATACAAAGATAACAAGATGGAAAGTTGTAAAATAGCCATCTATTCTATCAAAGATAGACCGATATGGGTTAGATGGCAAACAATGTCAGCATGTTTCAACCAAATATTTACTTTATACGTTTTCCATTAACAAATATATTTATCGATTAGGTAGTAATTGATAAACTTATCGATATAACAAATACAATAGAAGTTAACTTCTTGAATTTGCACTCTATATAGAAGTGAACGAATTTTGAGGCCTCTTTTCAGCTTCATCCTTGGCAAACTCAACGACAAATTCCATTCCTGGTCTATTCACGCGGTCTCAGCACACCTCAGTGATAACGACGTTACGAAGTTCTCTCGATAGGAAGAAAACTGGTCCGTAATCCGAATTCATTGTGACGGATTGAATAGCCGATTAGACGATTGTGATGTAGAGCTTCTCGGATTGCGTGGATTGCTTTCGAGTTTCACCAGTTTCCTCTTCTTCCGTGATCGCCTACAAAATATCAAATATAAATCTAGTCCCTCGTTTCGTCAGCCATTTCTGGATGACTCTCTTAAGTAATTTTTTCCTCTTCATCGGATACTTATTAACCAACTTTTCCCGCATTTTCGGTTGATTTAATCAGAGCGTTCATAGTACGCGATCGTACATGCGACCAGGCGATCAGGCGGGTGGACGAGCAGGTGATCGGACGATTTCTCCAGGATAGGAGCAATCCAATCGATACTTATGTGGTCTCACTCGCCTGCTCGTTTGATCGCCTAATCGATATGCTTTTACTTATAGACCAATCTTAATCGCTGAACCTCCTGATCGCCTAATTGCATATACTGTCGCTTACTATGAACGC